GTGTGTGTGTGTGTGTGTGTGTGTGTGAGATTGTGAGTGTGTGTGTGATTGTGAGTGTGTGTGTGTGTGTGTGTGGCCTGTTCATTAGATGCATGTTGATGACGTGTTGTTACAGAGTTGTTAATTGTCTTGATGTTCTAGTGATCTTCATTTTGAGCATTTAATATGTTTACTAAGGCGTTTTCTTCATGAGGAACTTAAGATTTTACCAAGAGTTAAAGATTAGGCTAGTTAGTGTGGGTCGGTTATAGGGTTGGGAATCAAAAATCAATTCCAATTCCAGAATCGGATACTTAAGGTCAGGAATCGGATACGTCTTGTAAAATTAAAATTCCATCTATCAGTTCCTGTGTGCGCATCTTTTTTTTTAGCTGGCAAAAATGAGCTGTTAAAAATGTATTTGTCTATGAATCATTAATTGAAGAGATTCATTCAAATACACTGATTCATCCAGTAATGAAACAAGTAAATCTTGTGTGAGTCATTGAATCATTCATACATTCCATCAAATTTTGTTTAGTTCGTCTAATATTCTTTCTTCAGAATTGTGAGAGAAGTACAACCTCCATTTATCCAGAATCAGCTCTATTTTGCTCACAAACAGCTCTTAATCGACTCCAGTTTTTATGCAGCCGGCTGATTTTATTCAGCAGCAATTAAATGTTTTGCAAAAATAAATGTGTGATATCTAAACGTTTGACTTCATTTTTAACCACATAGGAATAGAAACTGGGAATCGATGAGAATCGGAATCAGAATTGATCAAATTCAAACGATGTTTAGCTCCCGTCTGAAGAACTACACCGACAGACATTCAGAAGAATCTGTGACAATACTTGTGTGTTCACTGTCATTACCTATTTTTTCCATCCACATATTTTTGTATGAGAATTTGGGATATAGCATGATAAAAAAAAAACGCTGGTTGGACACGCGAAGATGTGCGAATGTCGAAAAATATGCATTAAGAAAAGAAACTTTTTTTATCTCATCGCTGACATGGCCATACTGTTTTTTGTCTACTATACAGTAAGTAGGCGTATCCGGATGCAGCCAGTGTGTTATATCATGATATCATTTGGTCACATGACATTTACGGCTCAGGGGATTGGCTCGAAAACAAATGCTCTCAGTGAACATACATTTCTACAAGTGGGCGTTTCCCAGTTATAACGTTAGG